TTTTTTTGTTTTTTTTTTTTTTTTTTTTTTTTTTTTTTTTTTTTTTTTTTTTTTTTTTTGGTGGTTGGTTGGCGGTATGCCCCCCTTCCCCTGACCCCGGTATGTCACCTGGCATGCCTGGTCATGCAGACCTCTTGCCAGAAATGCAGCTTTAATATATTCAGTTTCCCTGAGAAACAGGTTTCCTTAAGTCAGCTGTAGGTAAGTGAAGATGATAGCTCTCAGGTGGTTAATTTTATTTTACTTGTGATAGGAAAAAAAAAAAAAAAAGCTGTTCAATCATTGCACGTTTGTTTCAGAGTAACTGTAAGAACATAGTGTGTAAGTATGCTGAAAATTAACATAGTATGCATAATAATAAATAACATGACCATATTGCTTGGATCCTGCATAGGGAGGTTGTGATAAGGGTGTACTGAATACAGCAAGAAAAGTCTCATATATTTCTCTTGTGATCAAAATATTTAATAAATTGGGCATTGATTCTTAAGAACCAGATGAGAGGAGTGGAAACAAGGTACTACTGTGGATAATATTGAATTGTACAAAGAAAGGAGCGCCTACAAAAAAGAGAGTTCAGGCCGATCATAGAGTACTGAAAAGATAAAAGAGTAGATTATTGATTATTGTTCTTATCAAGCGGCTAAAAACCTGTTATGCTGAGGAATATATGGATAAAGGCAAAAAGGTCTGCCCCGAGAAGGTCGGGATGGAGCTGTATTGCGAAGTGGCAGCGCAGGCGCCACTGGGAGCGGGGCCTGTGCCCGGAGCCAGGTCTCCCCCTGGACCAGGGGCTTTCGGCGTCTCGGCACTCGGGCCCGCGTTTGCTGACCGAAAGGCAGGAAGGGGTTTTTTGTGTTGGAGCGGGAGTCGTAGGCAATAAAGAAGAAAACTGTAATTCGTTGACTGTTGGCTTTATTTGAAGGAGTGTAAGTTACTGGGAAAGTGGATGAAAGGTGCCCGCACGCCGAGCGATCCGCCCCGTTCCGTCGGTGGAAAAGGGGCGTACCAAGGATTCGGCGGGTAGGGAGCCCCTGGCCCGCCCGCCGGCTCCGGACGCGCTCTGCTGCCGCCAGTGAGGGCGGCGCGGCGGTCCCGGGCACGGGGCAGAGCATCCCCAGCCGGCGTGCTGGCTGCCCTGTGGTAACCCCGGCACCGCGCTCCGCCGGGGTGAACGACCGCCGCCGCCGGAGAGCAGCGAGCGCTGCTCGCTCTGCCGGCGGCCCCGAACGCCCCTCCACCGTCACCACATCGTCTTATCGCCTATAGCAACGCCGCGCGGGCGCCGCGATTGGCAGGGCCGCGCCCCCGCGTCCCCGCCCCCGCATTGGGTGCCGGCCCGGGATTGCGCGTTCGGCCCCGCGTTTCTTTGTGCAGGCGCTGCGCGATCCGGCCGCCCTTGAACTGGCGCCCGCCGAGCCTCCGCGTCAGTCGCCGAGCCACGGTGCCGGCGCGGCCGTACCCCCCTCACAGTGTGCACACCCGCGGGGAGGTGGGAGAGGGACACGAAGAGGTCCGCGCTCGCGGTAGGTCGGCGCTGCCTCGCCCCTGGCCAGCCCGGCTCGAAGCCAGGCACCCCCGCAGCGCCCAGCCTTTCACGACCTCCAATGCAGGGCGGGGCGGGGCGCGACAGCTTGGCCCAGTGCCGCGGGCACGGGGACCCGCCTGTATCCGACTCGAGAGCTGGTCAGGGCCCCCTTCTCCTGTGGAGTGACTCCGGCGGGCAGGGGTTGGCATCACCCCGGATCCGACTCGGGGCGGCCCTGCCCCGGCTCTCATTGGACTGCAGCGAGGAGTAAACTGTCAGCCCATGTGGCGTGGCCGCCGGAGGTGGCGACTGCTTAAATAGCGGTGGGAGCTAGAGGGAGACAGTGAGAGGAGCGCGGAGTGTCGGCCGTGCGCAGCTTGGCACCGGCCGCCGCAGCGTCTGCCCGCAGAGCCCGCCCCGCAGCATCCCGACCGCTCTCTGAGCTGACGCCAGAGTCTTACCGACACGAAGCCTTCCGCCCCGGTGCAGGTACTGGCGGGACGGTCGGCGGCGCGGTCGGGAAAGCGGCAGCCTCTGCTCCCGCCTCCGCGGGCCGCTGCGCCCGGCGGTGCGCCGGGAAGGCTCCATCTTGCCCCCGACGCCGGGCGGGCGGTGAGGGTCCGCGGGCTCGGCTGGGGTCCGCGGGCTGCAGTCCGCGCGACCGGAAAGTTCTGCTCCCCCGCGTCGGGGTCGCCGCGCCCTGTTGCTCCGGCCGCTTTCCCGGGACCCAGCGCGGCAGTGCCGAGGAGAGTCGCCCGGCTCAGTGGCCGGTACCGCGCTGCAGCCTGCCGCTCCGCCCGCCCGGCGAGGCGGCTGCATTGTGGTGCTGGCGCTCGGCCATCTTGGTGGCGGGCGGGGACCGTGCCACCGCCGCGACCCCTTGCCGCCGGGCCGGGAGGGATCGGGGACGCGGCCGAGCCCCGCTGCCCGCAGCCCTCGTGCGCACTCGGCGGCAGCGCGAGGGGCCGCGCCTGGCGCGGAGCTGGGCCGCCGACCCTGCGCTGCCGCATTTCAAGCCCAGCAGTGCCCCGAGCGGGCGTCGGGGCTGCACGGGCCGCGCGGCGGCGGCGCTTCGTTCTCTGCGAAGGCACGACCGTGGCAGGCTGAGCTCGCTCGCACGGGAGATCGGCGTTCGGTATTGCGAGAGGACACTCGTCAGTAGGTACTGGGAATCCAATCGCAAAAGAGGTGCCAAGGGTACTGCTAACAATTTTTTTACCACTTCGGTTCAAACCAGTCGCCCACACGAAATAACTCGATGATCCACACCAGTGTGGATCTGATGATGTGATTCTGTCAGGAACGTGGTGATCGTCTTTTCTCTTCTGCTGTTTTTGCACCTCTTTGGTTTTTATTCCACATTCCTTCCCTGTCATAGGGCCCTTTGCGATACTGAATGCATATTTTCCTAGCAAAACTGTATTTGGATGCTTAAATATAAACAGGTGGTATTAAGGCTGTGTAAGTTAACTTGCATACTCCATCAGACCACCGTTGGGAGCGTTTCTTATCTTAAAAAAAAGGGAGAAAAGACCTCAAGCCCCAAGAGCAAATTGTTCACCTTTTCCTGAAGCCTCTACCCTTCTTGAAACAAAGTGAAAATAATAGAACATTGTGAAAGGCTGCATTTAGTAGGTGAATTGAGAGGATGAGGGCAGTTATGAACAGATGCTTTGCAAACATGGAACCAAGATTTTTAACCAAATCATTTTTGTTTCAATGATTCCCCATCATGCTTGGGAATCAGCCAAGCTGTGTTGATTGTATGAGCAAAAGTAACTTTTCTGCAATAACAGCTTTGAACCATATTGTGTTTCCCACTAAGTAGTAGTATTTTAAATACGAATGCACACTACCGTTTTTCGTTTGTCTTGCGGTCAACAGGACAAATACAGCATTGAAACAGACATTTGAAAAGTCTTTGTTAAATTGAAGCTATAGCACACAGAGTGATAGTAGCGAAATGCTTTCAAAAAATGAAAAGCAAACTAGTTTGCCCTTGTTTGTGAAGGGTTTCTTCACTTGTAAAGAGCATCACAGCTCTTTATAAGTGAAGTTCCTATGTAAGGACAGTTTTTATTACAGATTTTAGAAATTACAGAGATGAAGAAACCAGGGTTATGATGTGATCATACTGAGAAACAAAGAAAGCAATCCTTTTGTCAATATCTGTGCTGAAGAAAGCTATGAAGGAGTCACGAGTATTTCATTTTACAATAATGGGAGCTCCAAAAAAGAGGAAGATTTGCACTGTCTAGAAACAGTAGTTGAATTGGCTTTAATGATTCTATCCCACTGTGATCACAGCGTCATAATACAAGTGAAATAAACACTGTACTCTTGTCTAGGAAAAGGAACTGTGTGCATCAGGCAACACAAGATTTGGGTTTTATTTGTTGTTTCTTTGCAAACAGCTGTTTCTTCCCTCCCTCTCCCCTTCCTTTCCTCACCAAATCCTATGTAAACAAGTTAGAGCAGAATAAGTTGGCTTTGGTGGTTGGCAAGTCAGGTATGAGCAGGAAGAAATCAGATTTTACCTTCACTTTTTTATTTTCCTTGTATTTTGTTCTCTTTTCCCTTATAAGCTTGCAAGCTTAATGGTCACAGAGTTATTTCTGTAGGGAAACAGTAGATAAAATTATTATTAAAAAGTTGTACAGCTGCCAGGCACGGTGGAAAACCCTGATTAATACTTCTTTTGATTGATTTTTGGTGCTGAATTAGGGAGGGACTGAAAAACAAATGTTTGGACGCAATAGAGAACTGTATTTCAACTTAAGAGTAGCTTTGAT